ATAATAATAATAATAATAATAATAATAATAATAATAATAATAATAATAATAATAATAATAATAATAATAATAATAATAGGCGAGGAGCGTTAGATTCGAATATTGACAGTGGGGAAAAAATTGATGTCCAATCATGCTACTTGTAGGAACTAGACTATAGAAGACTGCTTTACATTAGGTGGTGTTGGTATTATAAGTGTATGCGTATGTAAGTTTATAATGTGTCCATTTTAACAAACAATTTTTATTCGATTTCTCGACGTTCCTCGTTTAATTGCGGTATAATAATTGAAACGATAAAAAGCTATAATCCTTTGAAAAAAAAAAACCAAAAAAAAAGATAAACAACAAAAAATTTTAAACAGCACACACATAAGTATTCAATCTCTCTCACTTCGATATTAAATGATTTTTATCTCTCCTGTCTTTTCTGTGTTCTTATATACTATTGTTTTTTTTATAAAACTCATCAACTTTGATGAAATTAAAAACAAATTAGTCCACACACGCGTGTTTTCTTTCCTTCGATGGAATCAAAATATATAAACAAAAGAATAAAAAAAAAATGAAATTTTAATAGAACAAGGAACGAGAAAACATTTTCAATATTGTTTTCATATTAATTAGTTCGATCGTTCATCTAATTATAACAAATAAACGTATGAATGAATCCTTATACATGTCGAATTCTTCTTTTTCTTCCTTCTTTTTTTCTCTTCAAGATGACACAAGTATCGAAGTTTCGTGCGATGATCCATGATAATTGGATTGAAAATGATAAGCCCAGTAACCAGCTAGAAATGTTAAATATCAGTCAAAGGTATCATCTTTCGGTTATGTGGAGATTTCAATGACTGGTTCTGCCGTATTATTGTTTAATAATTCCTGTTTGTCCCTCAATTTAAGATCGTATTGAGATGGGGATGGCGAATCCTTGGTTTCCAATGGAGAAAGATTATCAGTTTCTTCCAATGGCGAAGCACCCTCTTCGCTATCCTCGTCATCGTCGTATTCAATTTCCATTTTGGATTCGTTTATTTCGTGAGTTCGTCCGGACAAATATGGATGCGGTTGTAAATGGTAGGGGGGCTCACCATTGTATGTAACTTTACCCATAAACGTTCTAATCTCGTCGAAATAAGTATCTTCACGTTCATTTTCGTTACTGCTACCAGGTGAATCGGCAACTGCAACTACACCGCTACCATCGTCAGCTTCGTGTTTCTTCAAGTGTCTATCCAAATTAGTTTGTTGACCGAAACATCTTTCGCATAGTACACATTTAAAAGGTCGTTGCTTATCGTGTATATTTCTAACGTGTCGTTGAAGATTACTCGATATGCTGAACGATCTTTCGCAATATTTGCATTTGTAGGGTTGTTCGCCAGTATGCGTACGTAAATGCCTGGTTAAATTTGCCGATCGTGGGAATACTTTGCCGCAAAATTTACAAGAATATCTATCCTTGATTTTACCGTGGGCGTGATGATGATGATGGTGATGATGATGATGGGGTGGCATCACGGCATCTTGAAATGGTTTCACACCAGGGAACGCACCCATCGGTGGCCTGGCTAGCAGGTCGAATCCCCCACCTGGCCTGGCGCCGCTGAGCCCGTTCATGTATGTCCCTAAAAAAGGAAGTCCACGAGGTGGTGGCACGAACGGTGGAAGAGGTGGTAACAATCTCGACTCTGCCGTAGCACCTCCTGCCGTTGGAGGTCCACCTGGGAACGAAGGGAAAGTGTTTCCAGGTGAACGGTATTGTATCATGGCTTCCAGAATCATCGGATGGTACGGTCTTGGATAGGCCATGTGTGGAGGGGTGTTCGTTGGTGGTTGATCCGTAGAAAGACTTGTTCTCAGTCGCGGACTACTCGGCACGTCTTTTGGTTCTATAACAGCCATTTGTGGTGGTACTGGTACAACATTATCTTCCTCAGTTCTGGGTGGATCTATAGGTGGTGGTGGTAATGGTGGAGGTTCCTCAATAGGAACCGGTGTCGAGGATTGACTTACACTCATTTTATCGTCGATAAAAATGTCCTGTTTTTTCGTTTGCACCCTCAGATCCAATGGCTGATCGGTAGATTCTTCCGTCGAGGACGCATTGGTCGAGGTTTCGATTTCCATTTTCTTCTCGTTACTTTTTCCAATGTTGTCACGACGTTTGCTTTGATCCTCTTCGGATTCCGAGGTGGGTTGTTGTTGTTGTTGTGGTTGTTGTTGTTGTTGAACGAGTGGTCTAGCCGGTGACGGCCTGAACAATGACGTTGCTTCCTCGCCAGCCGACGGTGAAATTTTACTGTGTTGTGAATGAATTCGTGGTGGTGTGAAACGTTCCTTTCTTGGACTCTCACTTCTAGTAAGTTTATCTGCTTCCTCGAGTTTGGGTGGAAATATTAATGGTGAATTGAGAAAATTAGGAGCATTTGAAAATATACCAGGATAAGGTGCCATCAGACTAGGCGGATAGAATGGTAAACCACCTGGTAAACTGACCGGTGGTCTTGGATAAACGAGGAATGGACTAGGTGCCGATGACGGTAGTTGTGGCATCGTTCCTGGTGGACCGGTCGGTGTTGATGAATCGCAGAAACGTTTATGCTTCGACAATGACGTTACTGTGCTGAATGATTGGCCACATTTGACGCACTTTATTTGCATACGACAATCCGCGTGCATACGCTTGTGTCGGCAGAGATTTGAGAACTGCGTGTACGCCTTGAAACAAACCTCGCACTGGAATGGTTTAACGCTGCTGTGAATATGTGTGTGTTGTTTCAATCCCGAACTGGTGGCAAATGTTTTGCCGCACTCGGTGCACGCGTGACTCCTAGCACCGACGTGATTCGAACGGATGTGACGTTGAAGATTAGACGGGTCCGTAAATACCTGCCGGGTGTTCGACTATTAGCGATACTTGGAAGATTACATTCATTTTAAATATAATCAGTTTATTAATACTCCTTTTAAGAGTCTCATAATTACCCTAGGACAATTTTCGCATGGATAATTCCTACGATCACCATGAACGATCGCACGATGACGTACTAAAAGTCCACGCCAAGCGTAACCACGAGGACAATCACTGCACTGATGTTGTTTAGCTGGATATCTATGACAAGTCACCAGATGTTCGTCTAATCTGAAATACAAAATATTACGAATACTATAGTGATTAATTTGTTAACAATCAATTTTTCCACCAAACATGATTCTTTCTGTTTTATTTTTGTTTTAATATATAAATAAGATTTATAACAATATTCATTAAAACTTCACTTCCAAAAAAACACACTATTTAATGGAAACGGAAATAATTTCGAACTAATCAATTATTTACTATCAAATCAGAGTACCACGATGTAATAAAGAAATTGGTCCTGTTTTCTCTATCACATAAGACAAATATATAATATTATTACGATCAAATAAATTCCACACATCGAATTTATCGACAATAGTATTCAAATAAGTATTGAAAAAATATCTAACAAAATTGATAACGATAAGAAAGGAGTAACTGAAAATACAACACTCTAGCCAAGTTTAGCTCGAGGATGATGACTAACAAGTGGCACCACCAACGCGCCAGTGAACCACCTCTCTCAAGTAATAACGTTCGTCCTTTTCAAGAGTGGTCATCGTACGTACAACACACGCAAAAATACACGTACACCTAAAGATATCCATGCAAATTCCACATACATACATACATACATACATACATACACACATAGATAAGTGTTAGAATGTATAGTAAATTTAGTTGAAGGAGGAAGAAGGGCGTCTTCGAGGGTGTCACAAAGTGGGCACGGGTTATGGTCACAGGATGGCATGGTGTGTGAGCCAGCATTGATTTTACACCCCCGAAGTTCGCGCGCGTGTGAAAGCTATTCACTGTGAGATAGTGCTTTCACGGTGACGGTGCACCGTGCCAGATGAGTCTCGAACACGCGAACGGCCTCCTATGATAGATGCGAAAGACGTTCGATGCGACCGAATGCGGACCTAAGTCTTATTTTTCTTCCTTAACAACAGGTGAACTCTATAATCTAACTATAATACTTATATACTCAGTACGTCGTGATTTAATATTCTTTACTAATCAAATTTATATTTTACATACGAGTACAAAATTTATTTATTAATTAAATTTTAATTTATATATATATATATATATATATGTAAATTACATTAACTATTTACTTCATACATATATATAACTACTAAATAAAAAATTTATAGATTTTTACATATATATAAATTTATTAAATTATATAATTATATAATATATTATATAATAATATTAAAAAATATATAATCAAATTCAAATAAAAATAATGTACGAGTGTTTTTTTTCTTTTTTCCTTTTATATATTCAACATTAACAATATAATTTATATTAAAAATATTTGATCTAATTTTTAAACTTATGTACGTACTTCATGGTAAAATATTTCTACTAATAGAATACACATATTTGAATTATTTTAATATTCGATAAAGTACAATTTTGATAATTTAAATAATACGTAAACAAGGAAGCATATGTGTGTTTGGAATAAATGAAATAATAGAATAAGTGTTTGACTTTTATCCTAGGCCAAGTGCCAAATAGAGTAAAGCTAAAAACTTACATCCCTACTACACACACACCCCCTTCCTCTAGTTATCATTTTCTTTCTCTCTCTTTCTCTCTCTTTTTAACTCTTGAGAAAAAAGCTGCGGGACATCGAAGGGGCAGCCCTTCGAAAAGGGTCTCGCGTGATCAGGAACCCTTTTTGAAGCATGTATATCGCGTAGCGCTTAGATTTAAAGTGGATAACGTGCTTCGAAGCCTAACCACCCCCATCCATCTTACACCCTCTATTTTTTTCTCTCCCTCTCTTCCTCTCTTTCTCTCTCTCTTTTTCTCTTTTTTGTTCTTTCTTTCTTTTCATATCTGTACAAGGCTTATATCAATTAATAATCGACGTTCGATGTAGACATTTACGTCGTGTGTGATGAGTGTTAACGATTGCAAACGAGACAAAAGAGAGAGAGAGAAAGAGAAAGAGAGTGAGAGAGAGAGAGGAAGAAAGCAAAAAAGATTCGTGTCAACTAACACCGTTACTAATCTGATTTGAAAAAAATATACGACGATGTGTTATGAATCTTTCATGAGTAGAACTTTGTTACGCAGTTATTATGATAACCATTCCATGGATATTATAACGAGCAAATTTATGTATGTATGCGTATAATAATAGAAGAGGTGATATAAAAATGTTCTTCGTAATAAATATAATGCATTAATCTAATAATATTTTCAAATATTATATTATATGTATATTTTATTTATATAAAATAAAAAAAAATAATAATTATTATTATTATTTAATTTATTTTGTAATTATTTTAATCTTCTTCTGTTTGAAATATTCCTCTATTATTATTCGTATATATTTTTATCATATAACAGAGAAAGAATATAAAATATGTGCTTTTTATAATAAATCTAGTTCATTGGTCTAATATTTTTGTACATTTTATTTTATTATATATTATTATTCATTTTTAAAATTAAATACATCTTAAATATGATCATACTTTTCTAAATATCTTTTGTCTTTCTCTGTTAAAAATTTGAGTCTTGAAATTTCTTTATCTATTATTATTATTATAAACATGCGTTACACATATTATATCAACTTTTTTTTATTTAATATAATTAGATTTAATTTCAATCATACTTACAAGTCAATTTCTTGAAAAGGTTTGTCACAGACTGTGCATCTAGTTTCAGATTCCTCTTCGTCTTCTCGATCTTCATCTACCGTGCCACTGTGTTGTGAAGCTGAACAAAAAGCAAATTACAAAAAAATGAGTTAGTTCAATCATCTCAATTAAATAATAACTTAAACTACGACGACCCATTAAATGATCTACTTTTTAAAAAAATGTTTACAAAAATAAAAAAAAAAAAGATAAGAAAATAAAAACAAAAGAAATTACGTGATCGAAATTATTACGAGAAGGGTATTAACGTTTGATATCGTGTTACTCTATGTAATTTACAGTGTAAAATGTATACACAAACTTACACGCGCAAACGTATAGGATAGAATGATTTCATGAATTATTAAATTAAATCGCCATTATCGTTACGATCTGCACGACGATGAGTGCAACCTGTGTTGTCTGCTAGTGGCGTAACGAGAAATTAAACAGTCTGTCAATACGGAAAAATAATTTTGCTTATGTCGATAATAATAACAACAACAACAGCAACAACTAAATATAAATAGTCTTGATGTTGATAAAATTAACAAAAATAACAAAATTTCAAGAATAAAAGATAATGTAAAAGAAGAAAAAAAAATGTTTACATGGTTGTAATATTAAAGTGTTTTTATATTTTCTTTCAAGAATATTCCATATTACGAGTAAAAATGAATCCCATATAACGGACTTATAAAAAAAAAATAAATAAATAAACAAAAATATCCAACTAATTTATCTATAACTTTTTTAATATACAAATATATTTTTCTTCTTCTTTTTTTCTTTCAAGAATATAACAACTATGTTTAGTATTAAATGTTAACAACAAATTGCAACTTATGACACTTGACAATCTACTTACTTTTGAAAGTAATTGAAAACTGATGCACTATATTCTTTTTTTTTTACACTTGACGATCACTTTAAGAATTTAGAAAAGAAAAATTGTTTTTGTTAAAAAAAGAAAAAAAAAGTGAAAAATGTTTTGTAAAATGAATTTTCTCTTGGCGTGAAAATAAATTGTTAAATTTGTTAATATAGTTTTAGACGTGATTGCAATCCGACACACAGTCAACTACTAACGACGATAGATAAAATGATGGTCTGTTAGCTTGGCAGGTAGTAAAGTGTGACCTATACCTTTCGTTTTAATGCACGCTTCTCAGTTTAACTTCCTCCTATTGGTAAAACCTAACTACTAGCTTGACCAATAGCAATTCACTTTACCCCTAACTCATGACAAACAACAATCCGTGAAAAATACCTTACGCCAACGCCTTTTGTTTTCTCTCTCTGTCATCATTTAAATTATATTTCGAAGTTTGGTGTATCTCAAAAATAATATAAATATATTGGATTTATTCAATAACTTTTGATCTACTATTTATTTTATTAATATAAACAACTGATGAAAAATATTTGAAGAAATTCTAAAGTTCTTCTAATTAAAATATAATTTAATCTTATTCGAGATGATATTTTATTTGATTTTACAATGAATATAATTCTTTTTATTATGTATTTATACAGATAATAATAGAAACAAAACAAAAAAAAAAATAATAAAAATATTTTACTCAAATAGAAAGTTTTGATTGAAAAAATAAAAATAATAATTTCAACTTAATCGAGATAAAAATAATGAAATTATAAAATAATTCTGCGTGTATATCGCGATTATCGTATAAAACAAAAAATATGATAAATCTAAAACTATTATTTAAAAAAATAAATAAAAAAGAGAAATATTTGAACTAAAAATATGTAACTGCTGTTAGTCAATAAGAAATTTTGTAGATAATCTTAGTTTACTACGTGATAATTAATTTAAAAAAATTAGCGTAGATGTTTTGATAATCTGTTTATCGAATATTAGGTTTGAAAGAAATATAGTAGACCTCCAACGGTTATTTAAATCTGCCGCTACACTTGTCCCAAGACCATATGGTCTAACGATGGCCCCCAACGGACCTTCATGGGAACTGCCCGCCAACCCCCATCGTACCACCATCGTATATACGATGTACACACTTCTCCCCGCCCCATCACCACTTTCTTCTCTTCTCTTCACTTCTCTTCTCTTTTCTTTTCTCTTTTCTCTTTTCTCTTTTCTTTCCCCCATAACATTGTTAATCGTTCTTTCTTTCTTCCATGAACTAATTCGAAACGGTATGTCGTGAATTTAGGACAACTAAGGATGCGGTTTGATCGATGAATCGAACTTTATTGTTAAATTAATCTCATCCTTATATCTAATCGTGAAAATATTTCACCATTATTTTTCTATAAAATAAATAATAAAAATAAATTAGAGACGATTGAAAAAATATTAAATTAAGAAAATAAAATGAAAAATAATTTTTTTTTTCCCACGATTGATGTTTGTTCAGTCAAGAGAAAATAATACCATAGGTGGATCATCAAGATGTGCATTATGTTTTATATATGTTAATCATTGATGTAGAAGAAGAGAAGACCGGTACGAAAGTCACGTTGCGTAAAGTCAACAGGTGGGATTCACTGGCAACATATAACACACACATATATATATATATATGTATATACAAATTTACACCCCCTGCGGCCAAGTCGTCGGTTGCTACTTTCCATGGGAAAAAGTAACGGAAATCGATGCCTTATGTGACACATTGATGTTTTGAAATAATCCGACCGAATCGTATTTAAGATTCATTAACCGAATATTCGTTGGGATTACTGTTGTTAACAGTTATACGATTTCAAAAATTATTCCTAAATTATGATTTTCCAACGTTTACGATTCACTTATATTGCTCATTTGTTGAATTAATTAATTTTATAAAATAACATAATAAAATAATTCTTTAAGTTATGTTGCAAAAACGCGAAAAAAACATAATTAAGACTATAAAATATTAATTATAAATTAATATGAATTTTTGCTAATGAGTGTGACACAATCAAAACCATACCTTTTTTATATTCCAAAAAAATTAAAAGTTAATAACTAATAACTAAATATTTTTATATTTTATTAATATAATTAATATTAATTAATATAATTAATTATTATATTATTAATTAATATATTTAATTAATATAATTAAATTATTGATAATTTAAATTTGAACATTAATTCCAAAAGCAAATATATATTTGTTTTTATTTAAATAATATTATAATATTGCTTTTTTTAAAATAATATTATAATATTATTTGAATAAACATACATATTTAAATGTAAATGAATTAAAATTAAACTTTTCCATTGAGAAATGATTTAAATAAAAAAAAGAAAAAGACAAAAAGAATATTTTGACTTATCTCGGAAGTCCCATTTTCCCAGTTCTCATCCGATGAATTTTCGCAATGGTAACCCCCTGAATGTTAACATAAAGTAGACGTGTCATTAGTCTGGTGAATCGAACGGGGCATGTAACGTGTCACATACACCACCCCCTTTCTTCTCTCATCCCTAGGAATCCACCCTCTTTTTGCTGGATGAAAACGTCGCGTGCCCCTTTTGTGCACGAGATACCCCTTTTTTTCTCTTCCTAAAACCGTGCCCTTTTTTTCTCTCTCTCTCTCTCTCTTTCTCTCTTTCTCGCTTTCTTTCTCTCTCACACTTACCCCTAAAGTCCTGTTAATCGACAATACACGACCATAAATTATATCTGCGACCCTAATAGAGACATCGAAAAACATAGAGAGAGATAGAAATAAAAAATATCATAGAGAGAGAGAAAGAGAGAGAGAAAGAGAGAGAGAGAGAGAGAGAGAGATGAGAGTAAACCCAAGGATGCTGGAGAGAAATAAAGAAAGAAAAAAAAAAGAACAGGATAGGAAAAATCAAAACCATAACTCACTTTAACTACCCCATGCCAGATGCATCTACTACGTGTTCCTCCTCCCTCTAGGCACGCGTGCGTGGTTTACCCCATTGCCGTTGTAAAAAAAAAAAATAAAATAAAATATATAGGATGGTAAGGAAAAAAAAAAGAATAAAAAAAACGTGTTTAGATCAAATTTCTTGTTCGATTTTTGCCTGGATAATAACTTACGTGTTATTTTTTACGAACTAACGATTTCAAATATCTTGTGTGTTATTTCTATTTATTATTAGTTTCTTTTTTGGTTTTGTTTTTATTAATATTTGTATTAATTGGTTGAAATTAAATTTTAATTAGTTTTCCTTTTTTTTTTTAAATAAAATTATTGACAAAGAAAAACGTGACGGTTAGATATATTGCATTTATATATTAATTATTAATATAATAATTACAATTACAATTGTATAAGATGAATTATACATTGTATTTTCTCTTTTTAATAATTTTAGCTTACTGATAAGAATGTTAATATTCATTTAATAAATGTAAATATAAATAATATCATTTATAATACAGGATAACTATAATAAACATCCTAATCTGTTTTTTGCGTACTTATTATGAAAAAAAAGAAAAAAAATTTTTGAACATTTCATCGCGTGCAATCCCTTATTACAATGTTTTGTCGTATTTAATGTAACACGAATTTGTATCCGTGACATTCGATATGTATTAAATGTAATATGATTATTAACGAACACATACACACATACATTTACATGTATAAAACGTACATGTATAAATGTACAAATAAAGCTTATTAAAATGACCGACACGATGTTATATGAATAGAAGTGTTAAAACGAGATTCCCTTCTTTTCTTGCTCCCTTTTTACCGTAGAAAAAAAATGATCCCGTTAGAGGAAGAAAGAGAGAGATAGATAATACGCCCAGATGCATTTAACAAGGGTTCGGATTCAGCTTACATGTTCTTTTTTTTCCTATGAAACATCATTATTTTATCTAAACGTCAATTCATAGAACATTTTAATAAATAAAATAAAATATATTCGATTTTTTATCTAAGATTAATTGAATTTTTATTTATACAGAAAAAAAATTTGTACGATTTTTCTAAATAAAATGTAAATTTTTGTTTATGCAAAAGTAATTTCATAAAATATTGTGATTTATTATCTGTTTTGCGTTAATAATATAATAAAAAAAAAAAGAACAAAGTACTTTTCATTTTCTATACAATAATTAATTGTATTTTTATTTATAAAACAGAAAACTAAAGGACACAAATTTATTACCATACGTACACATAATTTTATTGTATGTTTTAATTGGTTTTATTTATTTATTTATTTCCTATAACAATTATTAGAAGCAGACGAACGAAGATTATTTACGATTTCTTTCCATAGAATTTAAAAAAAAAAAAAGAAAAATAAGGAATAAGAAAATGTAAGATTTTGATTAAAAGAAATTTGTATTCCTTCGAATCCCCTCTCTCTATCTCTCTCTCTCACACATACACACATTCACTCTCTTTTGCTCTTTCACTTTTCTCAGTTCCAACAAGCTGGCCACATCGTCTTAGTATGGCGGTAGAGCTCGTAAAAGAGCTCCTTAATGTGTTAATTAATTTTCCGAAATTAAGATCGTCGTCTGCGTGACTCGACTTAATTGCTCGGATAAGTTTTCGGTACAGTTACAGTATCGTAAAACAAACGCCTTCGTTTAGAACCCTTCGAAACATATATGTCAAGCATTATTTCCCTTTTTTTTTCAAATCAACACCCTACTCTCTTTTCTTATCCTTTAACGTTTTGCTTTGTTTCTTGCCCTACTCCCATCCCCTAAAAAAAAGAAACAAAAAAATATACAACTTTCTAGATATAATATACGGAGTTATCTAAATTAATTTAAAACAAAAAAAAATTAATTAATTAATTATCTTTCAGAAATATTTCTTACTAATTTATTGTTTTTTCTTCTGATAGTAATCACTGCACAAGCCTAATTATACGATTAAAAAGTATCGTAATTTATTTTTTTTGTTTTTAAATTATTTAAGAAGATTTGTCTAGTTTATTTATAAAATTTAAATAAATATTTAAAATGTGTTTGTCAATGTAAAATAAAACAAATGAAATAAAAGTAAGGAGATTTGAAAATTTTTAATTAATCGTAATCATCTCGTTTTTATTTTCTCGAATGGTTAAAAGGGAAAGGAAGACATTTACGAGGGGTAAGTAAAATTATTAGGAAAAATTGTCGGCAAATTAGTTGAAGTAACAAAAGCACGACTACGACTACGACAACGATGACGACGACGACGACTCTCGAACTTTGACAATAAGCCCGCTTTTAATTACCTCGACATCTGGGTGTCGAAGTATAACACTCCTACGTCCCTAATCTTTGCACTCCAAGTCGTCATATTGATTCTGACCATCACCGCGTTTCTTATGAGTTATTATCAGATAATTATTAAACAATAAGATCTTTCTAAAATATTTTCTGATATTTATAATATTATTTATTATTCGTAATACAATTATTAATCAATAATTTTATTCGTCAAAATATTAACTAATGTATATTACTTTGATAATAATTTTTGCATACACACAAACATATAAAATTATTTGACAATTCAATAAAGAAATTTATTTAAAAAAAATGAAATTAAAAATTGAAAATATTCAACTTAACACATTACTATATGATATTAAACAATTTATTATCTTACGAATAAGATAATTAAAATATTCTTAAATTAAATATTACTTTTCTTATATAAAAAAAAATTGAATTAAAATTTTCTAAATAAATCCTATATTACATGATTTCCTATTAGAAGTTCGTGTGAACTGTGTGTATCAAAAAAAAAAAGCAAAAAAGCAAAAAGGGTTAAAAGGAGCGCTTAAAGTTAAATCCCGTGTCCCGTGGCTTTTGTACTCTCGGTTTTGTACATGCATTTGAACTTACGATCGTAAGAACGGGGAAGAAGCGGATTATTCAAAAGCGACACGAGCCACAAACCTAACGAACAATGGTAAAAGAGAATAATATGATGGAAAAAGATAATCAACACTTATTAGCCAAAAAGAAAGAGAGAGAAAGAGAGAGTGAAAGATAGACAAGGGTTAATACTCAACGGTCGACCAGGTGAATCACGCCAGAAATCAAGGGTGCATGACGGTGACAACGTTTCCCAACGATCCACGATTTGGCCCTTACTACTATAAACTATAAACCTATTCACCACCACCCCCGTTGTTACTATTGCAGTTAACGTTTCTGACTCTTACTTTGACTCTGACTCCTGCCCTTCTCTTAAAAAAAAAAAAACACCTGCCCTTCCTTTTACCTTCAACATATTCGTAATAATCGTACGCGAGCACGAGCCGCTACGGTTATGCGATTCCTATCACCCATGGAAAGTTGACCAGTAACGTAACTAACTGTAAAAAGGACTTCCTTCTTAACGTCCTCCCTCCAAAACCCACTTTCATTATATCCTTTTCTTTGTTTTCCTTTTTTTTTCATCTTTCGATTAGTTCTACATTATTGTTTCGATATTGGATAATTTGTTTAAGCTTTAATTTAACTGATGTTTAATGGGTTAATTTAATTTTATGGAGGGAAGACATTATTGAATTGAACTACTTATAAGTGGATATTAATTGTTGGATTTTTGTACGTAATTTTTTGTTTTTTTCTTGATTTATAATTTTCCGTTTAATTTTCAATGTCATAATTTGTCATATTAAATAAAGTATAAGTGACTTTGATGAGTGAATATTTAAAAGAAAAGAAAAGAAAAATAAATTATTTGCGCGTTCTGTTAATATATTTTTAAATTGTTTAAAAGTTAATTTCCAAAATTAAATATGTTGAGATAAATATAAAAATTTGTTGCACAAATACTATCATAAAATATTTTCCGATACATGATTACCCTGAAACACTTGAAAAAAAAAAAAACAACTACGAGACAATAAAAATATATTAATAATAAATAAAAAGTATTAATATTATGCTAACCAGTTTCTCTGTCGCTTCTATCTTCTGGTATATTTTCACCTAGGATGTCCTGCAATTGGAGTGGTTCACGAAGTCCTAGAAATAGTTCTTCGCCAATAGCGATGTCCCGAATGGCCTCGTAAATAATCTAATAATCAAAATAAATAAACCTTTATAAAATATATCATATTATATAATATATCATATATATATATATATATATATATGATATATTATTATTGTTGTACATGATATTATTATTGTATCCGTACATTGGCATGAAAAAATGAGGTAAAAAGGAAAAAAAGAAAAATAAAAAATAAAAAAGTGTATTTCACGTTATAAAATGGTTGAATACAAGAATATAGGACCGACCCCTCATGATGTTATTCGGAGGAAAAAAACTGTTTTAAAAGATCTTTATGGTGTCGTCAGAAGCATCGAATCGTCGATTACGATTTGGTAAAAGCACTGATAAAAAGAGAAAGAATATAAAGAAAAAAAAAAGAGTGAGAGAAAGAACTGCGACGGTGGCGGCACGTCCCTCATTCCCACAGCGATTGCAAAAGGGCGTATACGAAAGTCAGTAAAACGAACCCCGTAGGGTGACTTAATAACTAAACACCCTGTATACATGTAGCTTAGGGACGCGCCCACGAAGCCGCGGCTACCATGTGGCGTAGTTCACACACAGAAAGGAATCCTAAGGACGTTAGTCCAGTCACAACCCCAAATTGACATGCTGACCTTTATCGTTACGTTTTATTCGATTTGTTTGTCTTCTTCATCCCTAAAAATGATATCTATATGTTTTCTCTTGTATTTTGTTTCTTTAACGAAATAATCAAAGTGATCTTCTTAATCCGAAATTTTTATAAAACAATTTTCAATTATTTTAGTTTTTATACGAATAAAAGATATTTTGAAAACAAAATAATGATTATAATAATTTACTAACATGTAAATATTGATTGCCATACACTGAATTGCAGAACATTGAATAGTTTTGAATATTTTCTTTTCTGTTTTTTTCTTTTTTTTCAAATACGATGATCTAGTTGTACGGATCGATGATTAAATGTTGCAAGAAATTATTCCAAAAAATAAGTTAAATATTCTTGGAAGCAAAGGTGATATCATATTATAGTTAGTTAAACCTAACATATGTATATATATACACAATTGTTCCAAAATAATAATCATTTCTAATTAACTGCAACTGTCGATTGACCCGTCAGTTGTTAAAATACAACTAAACACAAAGCCATTTTATTGCTAAATACATAACTAATTATACAAATCGATCGACAAAATTGAAAGAAACCTATAAAAATGTTAAAGTTTTTAACAACAATTTAAAAGTTAAAGTAAATAGATACACAATAAATAGAGTTCATTAATTCTTACAATAAATATATAAAATAAATATTAATTACCTCGCCACCAATGAGAATGTGTTTCAAATTGACCAAATGGGGACTGGCAGTACTGCGAATATATTTTAACCAATTTCTACTTTCATGAGAAGCATCCAACCATCCCTTCGATCCGCTTCCAACTATTCTAACCTGTAAACATAAGATAAATGCAATTTACGTTAGATAATGCATAAACAAATTGAGAATGAAAAGAAGGGAGGGATACGATTATGTATCAATAATGACGCGTCAACGTGTTAACAACACTCGTACGAAACTAATACAGAACGAGAGCACCTGTTTTCTTTGTTTTTTTTTTTCTTTTTTGTTTCCTTCTTTTTCTTCCCTTATAGGAGAGAATTTTTATTGAAAACAACGATTTATCTTCGTACGAAAAATATATAGGACGTGTCTTTCCAAATGAAACCGCAAGCTTTCGGATCCGGAACATTGCGTTTAACGGACCGTCGATCTTGGATATATCCGCCCTATCATCACCACTACCACTCTAACCTTCTATCCAACATCCCCAAATTTACGGACCAACCCTCTCAGAGTATTCCGGGATAAAATGAGAGAGAGAGAGAGAGAGAGAGAGAGAGAGAGAGAGAGTATTGGTGAGTAGGACAAGTGATTTTTTCAATTGTCTTGCAACGGGCTCACGCCTTGCGACGCTTGGCTGATCAACCATCTCACCCTGAACACTATATATAGTCATCTCCTCACCCTGTCTACTACAACAACACACCCTTCTATATTTTAGGACACTGATCGTTTGGAGTCCTTTCATCGTCACCCTTAGAATATGTTTCAAATGTTTTTCGACTATTTTCTCTTTAATGTTTTTTCTTTTTTCTTTCTCTTCTTTTTTTCATTTTTGTTTTATTTTATTTTCTTCATTGAAATTGTTTCTTATTGTTTCTTACGTATGATGATTTATTAATCGTTAGAATTGTGTTTTTCTTTCTTTTTTTAAATTATTTCTTATCATGTAATTATAAATATTATTTTCTCATTACATGTTGCTTATATGTAATATACATATATATTTAGTAGCTATATCAAAAATTATTTATATATTAAATTAAAAAATATTCCCTTAGGTTATTCTTTACCACCTGTCGACCATAAAGCCAACTGACGACTAACTATACCGTTAAAAATCGATTGAACCTTGCAGGTAGATAAGTTTCCTTTTTTATCGAGCTTTATTTATTTATTTAACCTTTTTTTTCTAAATGAAATTATTAATATTTTAATGAGCAAACTTATAATACGAATGAAAACGATGAATGAATCTTTCTTTTTTTTTCTTTTAACTTGTCTACAACACACATACGACGAATATCGCATATTTTTACGGAAGATACCTGAGATTAGGTCAAATATCGAAAAGAAAAAAAAATAGAAAAAAAAAAAAAGAAAGAAAGAAAGCAGGAAAAGAAGATCACCAAAAGGGCCGAAGATTTCTAGGATGCTCATAATACCCGATATTTAAGCTACCAGATTTTTAAAGAACGCTTTCAAGGGATGAGCACGAACGAACCAACACAATAGAAATTCTCACGACTAACAAGAAGGATTAGGATAGGCTGTGGACACCTTAGGAAAGAGCTGTGACACCTTTTGACAATGATGAGCCAAAAGTGTAGTATAATATTTTATTTTTTTGGTGCTCGCTTCGACAAAGAACGAACCATACTTTCTTCGAAAGATCTTTCATCTTTGAACAACTTCTTTCAAGACGTGACAAAAAAAAATAGGTTTTTACGAAAGAAGGAAACGATTTAACACAATTATAATGAACGTATTTTCGGGAAATTAATTCACATTGAATTATTTAAAATTTAATATTAAATTAGAGTTTAATCAAATCGTGTCAACAAGTTAATAATAATTACTAGTAATAAAATAATGTATTTGTTTTTTTTTTTATATGTACTTATGTTTGCAGAAAATTTTTATTCTTTAAATTATTAAAATTAATTTCTTCTTACTAATTATTTGTAAATATTATATTAAATATCGATTGAATCAAAACTGTTGATAAAAAAATATTATTATTAGATATAATTTTATTTGATTTATAAAATTAAAATTGTGATGAGATAAAAATTTAAAAAAAAAATTGATTAAAAAATAAATGAAATAATAAGGTATTTTAATTTATACATTTACAAATGAATCGTAAAATTTAAAAAAAAAAAAGAAGAATAAGAATAAGAATAAGAATAAGAATAAGAATAAGAATAAGAAGAAGAAGAAGAAGAAGAAGAAGAAGAAGAAGAAGAAAGAAAAGATAGAAAAATGTTTTAGGTGCAAAGGAAATAGTTAAAATCTCTTTTCTAGTTGTCGTTATCCTTCTCTTATTTCTTTTTTTTCCCTTTTACCATGATGTTTAAAGGAAAAAAAAAAAAAAGTAGAAATGGAAGAAAGGAAAGAGAAGAAAAAGAGATGTGTACGGTGATATTAGAAGGTGGTTGGAAATTCATCACTGGCTTTGACCGCACAACAGGGGGCGGCTTTCAGATCTTTCATCCCTTTGTCGGAAAAACGCGCCACAGACATGTGTTAACAATTCATAGGATAGATTTGTGTGTAAACTACTGATTCCTCTTTCCTTTCATTTATTTTATTACCATAAAACCGAAGAATATTTTCGTGGCGTCTCTACGAAGATACAAGATTATGATCCAATTTTTTTAATATGTAACACGCGTGACCTAATCTTTTTATCGGATAATAAGAACAAAAAATATATATTTTTTTTTTATAAAATTTACGAAACGGTATAAAAAATACAACGGTATGAAAGAAAAAAAACGTGTTCTCTTAATTATAAAGTAAGAAAAAACGAAAAAAAATCTTTTTAATGAATTTACATAACTATAAAAAGAAAAAAAAGAAACATAAAAACTTAAGAAGGATATAATAGCAATAAAATAAAAATATATATTTCAAAATGTATATTATATAATCAAAACGGAAAAAAAATTAAATATACTGTCGTTATAAATCTTTCTCTTTTTCTTTTTTTTGTATTTTACTAGAGAAATAATGTCAATTGTGTTTAACCATTATTTTTATTTCATAAAAAAAATAAAGGAGAAAGGAGAACGTGAAAATGAGGTTTTATACAATGTTTCGTGTAACAAGTAACGCGAGAATTTGCGGTGGCACTACGACGGTCAGTAATTCAAAGGACATTCAAAGAAAACGAAGAGTGAAAATGAGAGAAAGAGAGAAAGGAGAGAAAAAGTGAGAGAGAGAGAGAGAGAAAGAGAAAAAGAGAATGTAATGTGCGTTGGTATGGCTATGTAAAACTTTTATAAAAATAAACAAAAAAAGAAAAAAAAGAAAGACCAGAGAAAGAGAAAGAGAGAAGAGGGTGGGGTGGTAAAATAAGTGAGAAGAGGAGAAAGAGGAAAAAAGAGGAGGATGAGGAGGAAAAAAGGAAGGAGGGGGTGAAGGAGGAGTACACCGTGGCAGAGCAAATAAATCATAATTGCATCATTCCTTGAGCCTCTTTAAGCGACGTTAGAGGAACGCTAGTATGAAATTGCTAAAATTGCCAGAAACGAGCAACGATTTTAATTAAATGTGCAGTTTTAACGCTGGCTTTTTCTTCATGCAATTACCCTCTCTTTCTATTTCTCTCTTTCTTGCCTGAGCGTATCCCATCAGTGCTAGTAGAAAGAGCATCTAGGTATATTGCATCTTTCTCTCTCTTTTTTGAACTTTCATTAGTAAGTATGCTTAGATTAAACTTAGGAAAAAATATTTATTACTCGAAACTTTTTCTTTTTTTTGAAGTTTTTAAAAATATTTGATTAGAAGGGAAAAATGTTTCTACGTATAATATATATTTTCTCAGTAAATTATTTTTTTGTTTATATAAATCGTACAATATTGATTACATACGTCAAATCTGACAATACTCGAGAGTATTATACTTTGAAAGTTCAAATATGATAGCAATTTTATAATGTAATAAATAAAAAACAAGAAAAACAGATTCATTAAATGAATTTCTGAATATTGTAAAATATATAGAGTAATTAAAAAGAAGAAATATATATATAAAATAATATTCAATTTAATTTAATATTATAATATAAATACATACATATATGTATATTGTCTTTTTTTTCCTTTATGGAATTACATTATATCCATCTACAAAATTAAATTTTGTTGATGCAGTTTCCAAAAATAAGAAAGCAAAAGAGGAAGAGCATTGACAATTTTTCAGGATGACCACAGAATATCCATTAAAATTGATATATAGGAAAAGAAGAAAAGAATACAATAAAATATACAATAAGAATAATTTAATGCAAAATCCGAAAAAGATTACAACCATTGATTAAAAAGATCTAACACTTTCACCGCAACAACTAACTTATTCCGACGAAAAATAGTTAAAATTCAACAACAACAAAAATAAGAATGAAAAGAAGAAGAGAAAAATGTATCTCTTTTCTCGTTATTATTATTCTATTTTACAATAGGATGGAACAGATCTATTGATAACATTCCGGTGTTGAACTAGCCAATGAACTTCAAATAATTTATTGGGTCTTTTTCTTTCAAAATTGTCCATATTTTTCAAGATTCGTATCTATTACTTCTATGTACAAAATTTATTCGGTTTTTTTTCAATAGAAACCTTTTCTTTTTATCTTTTTTTAAAAAGCCTACATCATTTACCCCCTTTTCATAAAAAACTACGATTAACTTGTAACTAGGCATCAATTATTTCAATTAATTTTGTTCTTTGAACCAATCGATGTTGTCAACAATTTTTTTCTATTCATATTTATATTTATATTTTTTTTTTATATTTATATTTAATATATCAAAATTTATATTACATTTTTTTAACTGTTACTAAATATAAAGAAATACAATTTACTTCTGACATATTGGTAACAAGCGTATCATTTTTTGTGCCATACTTTTCTTTTACATTTTATTATTTATTCGAACGAGTATGGTTGTGTTAGAGACATAGAATCGAACCTATCAGCAGAGCCTGTGTACTACGAACTAGTATGAAGTTATGAATAAAACGGATCGATGGCGGATGATAGCTCTGTGATGGCCGACGTAAAAATGCTTTTAGCTGGCACCTCCCCTTTTTTTACCTA